GGGACAAGAAGAGAGGGACACAACCTAGAACAGATAATGGATGTCTATTCTATTAACATTTCTACATCTGGACAATGGGGCTGTTCTATGTGTTGTTTCTCCATTCAGAGGGGCCCCTGCCTGTCTTTGCCTAGGGCCCCACATTTCCTAAACCCGCCCCTGGGAACAGTTAAAGAAAAGGAAGGAAAATCTTCTTAGAGTCAAACAGAGCAGACAGCTAGAAAGAAAAGATGGAGGTCAGAAGACTGAACGATAAACACTATTAAATGATTGATTTTATTCATCTGATAGGAGAGGATCAGTCATTTAACGCTTGATCATTTTTGATCATTTTTTAATTAAAATGTTAATAAACATGTAGGAATAGATGGAAGCATCACTGGCCCTGTTTCCTGCTTTAATTTTAAAATGCGTTTATTTTTATTTAGGAGCTGAAATCCGTTTGCCCTGCAGGGAACCATCTTGTAGCGATGAATCTTTGATGGCAGAGGAAGGGTCACTTCCTGCTCCTGGATCTAAAGAAAAAGCTCCTTTAAGGGGCCACAAAGGGCCCCCAGCTCCACAAAGGGCCCCCAGCTGCCGCCATCTTTAAATGCTCCCTTTCAAAGCGTCACATTGAGTGGCGGGAAATGTTTGGGAGGGTTTATTTTCTCCTGGGGAACAGTTAGCTGAGGCAGCTAGCGTCAGCAGGCCGCCATGTTGCTCCTCCTCCTCCTCCTCCTCCTCTCCAGCAGCGGCTCCTCTCTCTGAACGCTGGCCGAACCTATGAGCTCCGTGGCGGGATCCCCTCACTGTGAGCTCCGGGGGCCGCAGGGCTCCGGCAGCCCGCAAAGGAAGCGGCTCCAGCGGCTGATCAGCGTCTCCGGCTGCGGGCCGAACAGGAGCAACGACCTGCTGCTGCTGCCGGCAGAGGAGGCTGCAGGGAGCGGAGAGGAGCGGAGCCTCAGCAGGCACCTGGTATTCTTCCATGGAGACATCCAGGTGAGGCTCTGATGGAGCTCCATCATTACATGTTGATGGAGCTCCATCATGCTGTAATGATGGAGCTCCATCATTAAATGTTGATGGAGATGCTGGTGGTTCCAGCAGCTGAGCTTCTGTTTGTTCTGCAGAACTTCCAGGAGGAGATGCTCCTGCAGCCTGAGGCGGCCCAGTGGCTCCCCTGGAGCCTGGAGCAGGTGGCCCTCATCCTGGCCCGCCGCTTCCCCCACAGGAACATCTGGGTGGTGAGGGCCTCCCGCATGTACCTGCACAAGTTCAGCTGCTACCAGAACTTTGTGGAGAGCAGCCCGTTCGGGGCCCCGGAGCACTCGGCCCACGGTGGAGCTCTGCTCCAACTCAGGTTTGGACCTCAGCTGTTTCCCCTCTGTGCCAGAACTTCTCCTTCAGAACCACAGGGGCCCTGAGGAGCCACAGGGTTCCTGAAGGAACCACAGGGGCCCTGAGGAACCACAGGGGCCCTGAGGAGCCACAGGGTTCCTGAAGGAACCACAGGGGCCCTGAGGAACCACAGGGGCCCTGAGGAGCCACAGGGGCCCTGAGGAACCACAGGGTTCCTGAAGGAACCACAGGGGCCCTGAAGGAGCCACAGGGTTCCTGAAGGAACCACAGGGGCCCTGAGGAGCCACAGGGTTCCTGAGGANCCTGAAGGAACCACAGGGGCCCTGAGGAGCCACAGGGTTCCTGAGGAGCCAGCCTGTCCCCAGAACCAGCCCGAGCTCAAACTGCTGCTGGTTTTGTTCTGGTGGGTCGATTTGCTCAGTGAGAAGGTTGATGATGATGATGATGCTGATGGTGATGATGGTGATGATGATGCTGATGACATCATCACCATCAGCAGAATAAAGTCCAGCTGCACCAGAAGCTTTGATCTGTTGATGTTCTCCTTCAGAACCCTGCTGACCAACGCCATGGAGCGAGCCAAGCTCCCAGAGCCGCTCCGGCCCGCCGGCGGCGCCGACAGCATCCCCCCCGGGTTCTCCCTCATCCTGGTGGGCTTCAGCAAAGGCTGCGTGGTTCTGAACCAGGTGGCGTACGAGCTGGCGGCGGCCCGGGCCGACCCCAAGATGTCCGCCTTCGTGGATCGGATCTCGGACATGTTCTGGCTGGACGGAGGACATCCGGGCGGCAGCGAGACCTGGGTGACGGACCGGAAGGTTCTGATGGAGCTGGCTGCCTGCGGCGTCTCCATCCACGCCCACGTGACCCCCTATGAGGTTCTGGACCCCATGCGGGCCTGGGTGGGCCGCGAGTACCGACACTTCATCCGCACCCTGGAGGAGCTGGGGGCGTGTCCTAGCAACAAGCTGCACTTTGAGGAGGAGCCGCCGTCCATCGAGAACCACTTCAGGGTTCTCCTGGAGTTCTGAGTCAGAGGAGGCCGCCGCCGCTCTCTGCTCCTTTAGATGCTGCTTCTGGTGAGATGGTCTCCAAGCTCCCACGTCATCTGATGACGGGACCTGAAGGCCCATCATCATCAGCCTCTCTTTTGCACTGGTGGGACGTGTCCAAGCGTGGTGGACTATGGACTAGTAGCTGACGAGTCTCTGAGCGTATTTGCATTCTGACTCTGCATCCTCTGATGCTCCTGCAGACGCTGCTCCTCCTCCTGAGATGTTTTCTGTTTGTCCAAAGAAATGTTGAGCTAAAAGCTCCCATTGGACGTCTGAGAGACGTCTGAGAGACTTCCTGGGCATCAGAGTTTTCCCTGGGCGCCCAGGAACATCTCTTAGACACCCGAGGATGTCTCTCAGAGGACGTCTTGTAGATGTCCCCGGGCGTCTGAGAGACGTCTTGCAGATGTCCCCGGGGCGTCTGAGAGACGTCTTGCAGATGTCCCGGGGCGTCTGAGAGACGTCTTGCAGACGTCCCTGCCTGACGCAGCTCCGTTCTCCTTCATTCCTCTTTGCTGCTGTGGAGCATGTAGCTGTAGTTCTGCTGGCAGCCAGCAGGGGGCGGCAGACAGACCACAGGAGGCTGTTTGTTTGTTTGTTTGTTTATTTGTTGTTTTTTTCCAGTTTGCTTCCTGTTATCCAGCAGTTGATTAAATTACAGATGATGAAAATCAAAGAAGAAATAAAAATCTGAACCCTTCCAGCTGTTTGGCTCCTTCAGTCAGAACCAGCAGCAGCCGACCCGTCTGGATCAGAACCGGTTCAGGCTTCCAGCAGTTCTAGATGACGGAACCGAGGGACGGAGCGGCGCCGGACGGACCGCTCCGTCCTCACAAAGCCCACATTGTCCCACCGCTGAGCAGTTCTGTTTGATCGGGTCGCTCCTCAAACCTTCCAGAACTTTCTCCACCTTCCTCTGCTCCTTCCTGAACGTCAGACTCTGGGTCCAAATCCTTCCTACTTCCTGTTTCCTTCCTGACCTCCTTCCTCCATCTTGGACCCTTCGGGCCTTCCTGGTTCCGTTCGGCCCGCTGAGCTCGTTGCTCCAATAAAAACAAACAGCAAGAACATAAATAATAACAATAAAAAGTAGCAGAACCGGGTCGGGTCAGAACCAGCCTCTGGTTCTGGACTAAGTGCTACCGAGGAACCGAGCTGCTCTACGATCATCAGAACCGGTTCTACTGAAGCCCTGAGCTACGGTCCGGGTCGGTTCTGCCGGGTCAGAGGAACCTTCCTGTTCCTGCTGCAGACCCGCTTTAAGGCATAGAACTAAACTGCATAGATAGGGGCTGGAAACCAGCCTTCCTCCAGAACCAAACGGGTCCGAGTCCATCAGTGAAGCGGGTCAGAAAGTTCTGGAAGCTGAAAGGATTTAAAAGCTGAGAGGAGGAGGCCGAGCCGCCTCCCCGTCCGCAGACGCCTCCTCATCTGGACGGAACCTCTTGGCCTGGGAACGGGTCGAGTCCAGGAAGTTCTCCTTGTCCTCCTGCGGCGCCGCCCACTTGGCGCCGCAGCTCCTCTCCCGGGCGGGTCGGACCGGGCCGAGCTCCGGGGTCAGGCACAGCTGCTGCTGCCACAGCCAGGGGTGGGTCAGGCACTCTGCGGCGCTGGGCCGGTCCCTGCAGGCAGAACCAGAACCTCAGATCATCAGAACCAAACCGGACCTCCTTAAGGAGGCGCATCGTCACCGTCTACCGAGCCCATTCTGGGTCTGACGTCAACATCCCGGTAGAACGCGTGCTGGAACCTCCTGTGGAGGAGCAGGCACCTCCTCTGTATGAGCAGGAACCTCCTGTGGAGGAGCTGAGACCTCCTCTGGAGGAGCTGGAACCTCCTCTTAAAGATGTTCC